TATATATATATATATATATATATATATATATATATATAAACTTCTAATGTTGTTTTATTACTTTCTAGTACTTTTAAACTTCTTTTTTTTTACTTTTTATTCATTTTGCATTTTGCATTTTTTAGCCCTTTTTGGGCTCCTACACTAATTAGGCGGTTCACTGCAAACCTGACTAGTCCAAATCCTTTTTTAAATTTCAGAATCTTCATCTTGGGGGTCAAGAGGATGGATTCACAGATTTTTGAGTCCCCAATTAAAAATATGGAAACCTGAGGCCACCAGTTACTTTTCTATACACAAATAAATATGTACACATATATGTTGGCTAGTCTGCATGATGTGCACTGAACTAAAATCTATTGGTAGACATGATATCTATCGTACTGAGACTCAAGCATTTGTTTCTGCCATATTATGCTATTTATGTGATATGCAGCTTGGACAAGTACAGACTATGTAATGAACATAGACATACAGTTTTATCAGGCAACATCTGAACTGTCGAAACACGGTTAACATTTATCCGCAAGTACCATCCAGGCGATTTCTACATGTTTCTTGTAGGACATCACAGACTCATCCCGTGGTAACTCAGTCCAGGACACAAGCAATTACTAATCAAAGTAAAAATCTCCAGTCATTGTCTTCTAGCTTCCTTTGTTTCTTACAAGTGCTAAAAAGCTATGAGGCCTTTTGTTTAGAACTTTATGGTTTTGTTAAATGACCCTCTCACACGATGGTCACCAACAAACCGAAAGTCTCAAATTTTGTGTGTGAAAAGTAAATAAACAAACAGTACCCAATTCTCCACATGCGGGTTATGTTGATGTTTTGGGAATAGCCCTCCGGTGTAACAATTGATGGTCTGTTAATTACATCCACAGGGGCAAACCCTGAGTTTCCAAAGCAAAGAAGAATTGTATAGACCTGACAAAAATTAAGAAATGCCACATGGACTGTCCTTTACAATGTACTCTTATGGACCACCCCCCCTCCTCCTCTTCCTCCCTCCCTACCTCCCTCCGACCTTCTTGCTTGGTCTCTCTCTAATCTTTTGTGTTGACTTCCCTCGAGATTTATCACTGTTCCCCTCTTAGGAGCGCTTTGGAAGAGTTATAACTACATCACTACCTTTCAGAACCCTCTGTGGCGTGCCAAGTGTCGGTGACAGAGGGCTTCATGCCTATAAAGGGAGAGTGGGGTCAATTGGCCTTCCTGTCCTCATTTTGTGTAGAGTGGGAGTTATAACTATAGTTAGAAAGTCTCCGTTTAAAATACAATTTTTTCAAAAAATCTTCGATTTTTCGAAATCCGTTAAGAACTCCAAGTTTTTCAAACGATCTTCAAAAACTTGAACTTTTTTAATGGAACCGATATAAATTCATATTTTATTTTTTTTCAAAAATACTTTTTCCCTATAAATTTATTTCTTCATTAACTTAACATTATTAAATTTTGGTTTAAAGATAAGCACATTAATAGTGGGAGTAAATTAAGAATCTTGATTCAACAAAAAATTCCATCAAAAATTTCACCAATAAGTTCCGTTAAAAAATGTATGAAAAATACAAGCAATATATTCCTCAAAAACTAAGATATCAAAATAATCCTATATCTCACAATAATAGGTAGAGTTCGAAGAAGAGTAACTCAATGAGAAATCTTTTTATTTTTGTAAAAGAGCGAGAGAGAGAGAGATTCAATGATACTAAGGATTTAGGCAGCTAGGAATTCAATGTGGCATTTGAATTTGCTTAAGCATGTTGTTGCTTTCTTTATGCGTAGAGAAGTTTGATTAATTTCATGTTTTTATTTTTATTTTTTATTTCATTGGTGTATATAACATAGCATTTTGAATGGATCACTATTTTACATACTTAGATGTTTGTGTTTTATTTTACAGAGTAAGCATTGTTGTTGGCTTTATTGAGAGTTTCAACAAAAAAATATCTAGTACTACTGTAGTGACACCAGGTAAGGCCATAAAATTCTTGTTCAATAGCTTCAATGTATCTATACAATAACTGCAAATCATAATCATATATTGTGCCATTTTTACATATCCCATCTTTCACTCCGTTTTTTTGAGCCGAGTCCGAAATATTCACGATTCTATAACTTACCTTATTTTTGGGTTATCCCTATATTTGACCCGACTTTTTCCTCCGACTTTTTAAAATACAACTGATTTATTACCAATGTTTTAGTTTGCCGATATTTTTATTTATTTATTTATTTTGTCAAGGCTACATAGGAATGAAACTTGAGACCTCATGCTATGGAAACCCAGCTTCAATTGTCTTGACCCAACCCCGATTCCTAGTTTGCCGATATATTATTCCCCGATTTGCTAAGTATGGTTATAACCTCCATATCTCTCTTCCTCTTTGAGTTAGGAGGTTCAGACCTGCTTCCCTTTACATCAATTATCATTCATATCAATTTTCGCAAGCCCCCTTACAAGGATGGGTAGACTATCGGGGCAGGTTATTTTCACCACCAAGAATATCTGGCCAAACGATTGTCACTGCTAATGTCTACTTACGCCAAATTTCAAAAGATTTCCATTGTTTCACCGTCGATGAACACAGCCAAATTTTTGTGAGTCTTATGTGTCCTTGGCATTCTCACAGCTGATAAGTACCAGTTTAGGTGACTTTTTGTATCCTGAGCATTCTCACCCTGATAAACACTAGTTTTTGCGACTTTCTAGTATCCAGTGCATTGTCACCACCCAGGCACCCACAAAAACTTGACTAATTGATGTCTTCTATACATGTTCAGCAGGAAGCATGAAAAGTATTTCCCAAGCTACACCAAACTTAGTTGATGACCTTCAACGCAAACCCCCCTTCCCCAAGCTTTCTCCTTCTAGAACAAATGAGCACAGGAGATATCATTAATGTCATAGGAAAAGAACCACCAACTACTACTATCATAATATGTAATTAACTGTAACAATTTTGATTCTAGCTTTTATGTTTATCTTGAGGAAATTTTAAGGAACACTTGGTTTCTATAGACTAATTTCTAAGACACAGCAAAGTCTTACACAAACTCAGTAAAACTAGGGACTCCCTCAAGTCACTAAAGGATTTCACGAATCCAAACTCAATCGCCGCTTACCATATTCCTTTTGTTTAAGTCCCATTAGGGACAACGTGATCGAAATTGAGCAGGTCCCAATCTCGTTTTCCCCCATACCCTTTTCTTTTTTGGATGAAAACAGATCCCAATCTCTAGGCCATTTTCCAAAAGTTGCATTTGACAATGTATAAATAGTGTTTCAGCATTTAAGTATAGAACTGAGAAATTGAATACTCATGCATCACCTTAAACGCTCATTGGAACAGCACTGTACACGGCTAATGTTCCACACTGAAAACTAAACATTCTTGTGGCGATTCCCAAAGAAAATTTATATCTTTAAAAATTCCATGCCTGCTCCAACATATTATAATCACATTTCTAGTGATAAGTATAATCAAACTTGGCCAAATAATGCTTTGAGGAATGTGTTATACTAACAACTATTTTGTTATTTTCTCAATGGTGCTCTGACAGTTAAAAAACACAAAAAACAGCCTGCTTTTTCCTCTGAAGTCCAGTTAAAGCATCAAACTCAAGAAATCCAAAAAAAAGAAATGGCGCTGTTAAGGTAGCACATTTGAAACAATATTTACCAGGATTTATGAGATGCAATTTAATGATTCAAGTTTGAGAACTGACCCAATAATTAAAGCGGTCCCTGCAGTGGCCACACAAGAAGGGAGGCTGACATTTCCTGAATTGACGATTTTCTTGATCTCGTCATTCTCAACATGGTGATTGTTTTTCATCTGCTTGCACAACGAAAGTAAATTACAGTAAAATAAAAAATCAGATATCAAGAACAAATTGATGGAAATGAAAAATAAAATGGGAAATAAGTGACTATCTCAACTACTCCCAGTTAGCAAATTCTTCTCAGCTAACAATTGATCAGGAACAGATTAAAGCTAAAATTGCAAGAAACTTCTGTCCCATGGGGATTGATTTGCAAGGTAGTAAGTAGGATTACAAACACAATTGAAAGCTGATTAAGAAGTTAAAACCATAAAAAATAAACTCAATTGATGGTTAAAGAAAAATAAAAGTGAACTCATCATGTCAACTAAATAAGAACCAAGCCTGTAAAGAAACATATAGTGCCACGAGAATGGGATGTCCAGGCCCATATATGCCATGAAACAATGTACGGTAATGATATGGAATAACACTGCAACTCCGACATAGTGCAAACATGAACTTCGCAGCTAAGTAAAAGGCCCTAGTTCCCCTTGCACATTTTCCCTGGCTAAAATGAGAAAAATCATGCATCCTAAACACAAAGCTCAATAATTCAAGATTGTGTCACAACAGTATACCAAAATGCATCACATACCTAAGACATTTTATGAAGTCAATAAAAATGCATAATAAAGCCACAAAATCCTGCAATAATAAGATCATCGAAGTTCGATAGACATATAGAAGGAAGTATAAAATGGTCTTTTCCCTCATGCCTTTGATGCCAAGATGGCACCGCTTCAACATAAGATTTTTTCAAAATTTTACATGCTTTTTTGAAGCGTGTGACATGGATATGGCACTCATTTCAAGAATACATCCATTGAGGATTTTCTTCGAAGAAAAATTGGCAATTGCACGTATAAGTGTTCCAAAAGGTGGATTTGGCCAGCTCGGCTGCCGAGAGAGAGAGAGAGAGAGAGCGAGCACAGAATTTCATGCGTTTGTGACATCGAACACTATGTGGCCATATTCTTCCTATTCTTCTTGTTATGTAGAGAAGGAGAGGGCTCGCATCAAACACTTGGAGAGGTCATCTTCTTCTTCTTCTTTTTGATACAGTTAACATTGTATTGATGAAAAAGAGAGATACAAAAAGTCACCGAGAGGTGACCAAAACGAGAAAGCGAAAAAGAGAAAGAAAACGCCACCTAGCGCAGTAGGGGCCAAAAAGAGAGAACCAAAAGAAGAAAAAGAGAAAACCAAACTATCGAGGCCTCAAGGCGCCTAGTAAAGTAGGTGCCAAAAGTCCTCCGCCCCGTAACAACTAGAGGTGTGTATTAGTCTATTAGGTCGAGGATAGTCCAAAGGATGCTCCCCGCTTGGCTAGATCATCAGCGACCTGGTTGGCTTTCCTCCAAATATGTTTGAATGAGAGTCATATATCCCTGCATATGTCAAGTATCTCGTCAAAAACATGCCAAAGTCTCTATGGGGGTTGGGCTGCGCTAGAAGCCCATGAGATGATATTCTTGGAGTCTCCCTCGATGGAGAGGGGTTGACCCCAGGAAGGGTCATAACGTTTTAGTCCTTTGAGAAGGGCTTTGGGTTCAGCCTCAGTGGGGTCAGCTATCCCAATGAATTGGGAGTAGAACAGGAGGGTGAAACCGCTGGAGTTTCCAAATATTCCTCCGATCCCCGCCAGGCCAAGGTTACCCAACGACGAACCGTCGAAGTTGAGTTTAATACTACCTCGTTCGAGTGGTCGCCAGAGTGCCGAGCGGGGCAGTCTTCTCGGCCTATAAGTGAGGATGTGGTCCCAGTGTGACATGAAGGCCAAGGTGGGGATAAGTTTGAAGAGGTGGCGATTGGTTGCTCAGAAAGTGACCAGGCCCCTGATCGAGTTTATGATTTTGTGGAGCGGTGACCTTTCTCCCTGAAAGATTCTTCTATTGCGTTCCTTCCAGATTGTCGCTAGGGAGGCCCCTAGGGCGGCTCTCCAGAGGAGTGCACCAACTCAAGGTCAGGGAAGAAAAGCTGAAAGGGAGACTAGGTGGGGAACATTTAGTGGCGTAGGGAGGCCAGGTGGGGAACATTTGAGGCGTCAGCCAAGACCAGTTGAAGGGAGCCGAGTTGTGGCTCCAAATGATTTTTGCAATTGGGCAATGGAGAAAGAGATGGCTGTTGTTTTCCTCTACCTCAACACACATGACGCACCGGTTCAAGATCTGGAGACCTCTCACTTGGATCTAGTCGACGGTGAGGACCCTTCCCCAGAGTGCGAGCCAAGAGAAGAATTGCATCCTGGGAGGGATGAAGCTATTCCACGCTCTGGGGATGGAAGGGTGGCTAGGCAAAAAGCCCGAAGAGGCCCTGAAGAGAGACCAAAAGAGGGAATTGACAGAGAATAGACCAGAGGTGGAGGCAAACCAGATAAGACAATCTTCTCCACAGGGGAAGGAGGGGCACGAAGCGATGAGAGAGGAGAGCTCTTAGAACGCTGGGACCTCAGAGTCACGGAGGGTATAGTTTCAAAAAGTGCTAGGCGGGTCCTGGGCGACCTGGGGGTCCAAGCCGCCGAGTGCTTAGGCAAGCGCCCAGAACCTGGGCGGTCCAGTTTAATCCAAATAAGGATTCTGGCATTCTCCAGAACCTGGGCGGCTCAGTTGATTGCTCAATCTTCAAAATTCCACCTCAAAGATGCTCCTAAATACTCAAAATCTTCTAAAAACCCTATAATAACTTTGCAAAACATCAAAAAGTAAATATAATACCAATGAGTGATGTTTTGATCAATTTTTGTTAACTTTAAGTAACCCTTCGATCCTAAAAAATTCACCACAATCTAGTTTTTTGGGGCCTTTCTCTCTCTAAATTTGGCTCCAACAAGTTTTAGGTTTCAAATGAACCTAAAATCCTAATTTTTGGCCCTTGAAAACAAAGAAAAAAGGATGAAAAATGCCCTCACCAAATGGTTTTTCCGCCCCTGGGCGGGGCGCAGGACGCCCAAGGCTGGGCACCCGCCTAGGCGGGTTTCGTATCGCCTAGGCGGCCGCCCAGGCGGCCGCCCAGGGATCGACCGTTCAGATTGGCCGCCTAGGCCTGGGCGATGCACCCAGGTCTTCTGACCTCCTAGGCACTAGGCGGTCTGCTTTTTGAATCACTGACGAAGGGAGAGACAGAAGTCTGGGCCCTAGGACCTGGAACCATTCTTGAATGGGAAGAGTACTTGGATAGAGGCCGAAGGGTTTTGGGCCAAGTGAAAGAGGCGGGAGTAAAAGGTTGAGAGAGGAGAAGGGGAAATCCAAGGGTCTAGCCAGAACCGAACCTCCCTAAGGTAGAAACTGATGTGATTCTTAAAGATAGGTAGGGCATGGAATATGGATTTCCATAAGCTAAAAGCCTGCTGTTGGAGTCTCTCAGGTATAGCCAAAGGGGATGAGGAGAGGCGGTATTTGGAGAAGAGGATGCGATGCCACAAATGGTCGCCTTGAGAGGTGAGTTTCCACCACCATTTGCAAAGGAGAGCGAGGTTGGTTAATTTATGGCTACGAATCCTCAAGCCCCCAGCGATATGGGAAGGCAAACCTTCTTCCAGGAAAGAAGATGAAATTTTTGGAGGAACCATCTCCAGACCAGAGAAAATTCCTCATGAGTTGCTCGAGTCTCGTGCGGACTGAGGTCGAGAGATGGAACAGGGACATGAGGTAGATGGGTTCCCCCGAGAGGACCGCTTTAATAAGGGTGAGACGACCTGCAGGAGATAGGAATCTCCCTTTTCAGAAGGCCAACTTTTTTTCCACCCTATCTATGACTTGGCTCTATTGCAACTAACGTGGCTTGCCATAGCAAAGTGACAGACCGAGGTAGGTCGAGGGGAGGGAATCGATATCGCAGCCCCAATCATCAATAAATGATTGAGGGGTCTCTAGGGCCAACGAGATTCCTACCATCTTGGATTTGTGGAAGTTAACGTTGAAGCCCGTAGCAAAGTAGAAGATGTGCAAGATCAAAAGCACTTTATTGGCTTGAATAGGACACACAACGCAGAACAAGAGAGTATCGTCAGCGTGTTGGAGGTGCGTGACGGTCAGGCCTTGAGGCCCGAGCAAAACCAAAGACCCACCCCGATTCATAGAGCTTGTCGATCATTCTACTGAAGACCTCGCCTGCGATGGTGAAGAGGAATGGAGATAAGGGGTCTCCTTGCCTAAGGCCCCTGTGGGATTGGAAGAACCCTTGGGGGGAGCCGTTGATTAGCATGGAGAAATAGGGGCCCCTTACACATGCCCGGATCCATTTTCTCCAACGGGCTCCGAAGCCCATTCTTCTCTTAGTTTCTTCGAGGAGGTCCCAATCGACATGATCGTAGGCCCTTTCCCAGTCTAGTTTAAGATCAGTTCCATGGTTTTCACGATCGTCCTAGAGTGAATATACTTGTGGGCTATTAAAGCCCCTCTAGGATCTATCTGTCTTTCACGAACGCGGACTGGTTGGGAGAGATGATGGAACTAAGGACGTGTTTCAGGCGGGTTGCAAGAACCTTGTAGGAGCTATTGATCAAGCTAATGGGAAGTCCTTAAGTTTTGTGGCTCCTTCAATCTTGGGTATGAGGGCCATGAAAGTGGCATTCATACCCTTGTGAATAACACCCCTCTCGTAGAACTCTGAGAAGAAGGCGAGAAAGTTGGTGCGAAAAGTGTTCAAAAATCTGTTGAAGTTGGCCACTGGGAAACCATCGGGGCCAGGGGCCTAGTCTTGGCCTAGGCCTCTAATAGCCCGCAGGATCTCAGTTTCCTCAAACAGCCAGTCAAGCCGGGCCGCTTGAGAGGCAGTGAGAGAGGCAAAAGAGGTCATTCAGCTAAGGTGCTGGTCCATGGGGTGCTCTGAAAAGATGTTGGAAGTAGCTCAAGATGGTAGAGTTGATGGCTGATGGTACATCAAAAGTGACCCCCTGGTGAGAGATCATGAGGATGGAGTTCTCCCTCCTAAAATTGGCGATTTTATGGAAATAAGCCGTGTTGAGGTCGCCACTCTTGAGCCACTTAACACGGGATCTTTGTGCCCAATA